TGGCAGAAAATATATACTTGTGAAATAGCAACCAGGGAAAATTTGCATGACATCATCTTCCATAATTTGACCAATAAAATTTCTTAATATATAGTCACATACAGAAACCTGATTCCATTTGGTAAATAAATATGATATTTACAAGGTTATGCAATGCGACTTTTGGAACACCCTGTACATTCAAAGATAATTCTAACATTGTAAAATAATTTGAAAAACATTTTTTTAACACAATATCTTATTTTTAAGCAATACCAAACATTTGCTATCAGCAGAATTCAAAAAACATTTTCTAAAATGTTCTTACAAAATAAAGAATTACATGTTTTTTCAATTATGTAGCTAATCATAAAAGTTATTCTTACCAATATGCTATAGATATATTTACAATTTATACAAAAAATGGCCACACCAGATTAATTTTAGGACTACAACTTGGTTAGTATTTATGAGCAAGGTGTAGCTTTGGAATTTTCATATTTAGCAAAAAAATCTATTTGCTAAATCTACTTTTACAGTAATTCTGATAGTCTAATAAGAAAAATGTAATTTTTTACAGTAATTAATTTAAACTTAAAACTGTCAGTGTCATTTCTAGAAGATCCATTTTTAATGAGCCAGATGAAGAGAAAATGGTAGAAAAAAAAACAAACACGGAGAGAGAAAAAAAAAGTTCATTTTTTAATCTGTTGTGTATTCTTTTGTTCAGGTCTAAAATCAGTATCTGTTTATTTTAGATTATGTTATGTAAAATTAATTTCAAACTGAAAATGTCTAACTAAAAAAGCTACTAACTCCATGTTAAATGGCTCAGTGATTGTTGAACTTTTGGTGTCAAATAAACAGAATGAAAATTCATTTCATATGTAACAATTGCAACACAAATTGTATCTTTAGAAATAGCAATGGTTAAAAAGAAATATTTATTTTTAGCTTGTCATGGGTCAGTGTAGCTTTAAAAAAAATGGATTTTGCTCAAAACGTCAAACTTGTAGAGAAACTAGAAGGGAGTAAAAAAAAAATCGATCTGTAACCTATGATCGAAACAGCTGAATGGAAGGAAATAAAAAAAAAAATTTAAAATTGTGAACCAAAACCAAAAGTCTTGATGTGGAATGAGATACTGGATGTGGTTATTCATTTCTATCCAAATTTTGGCAGGTCTCATGATTTTTATGATGCCTAAAAAAGTCATCAAAACATCCATCTTAATCAGATGAATAGGCGCCTCTCGTCTTTACTTTAATGGTCAGCAAATATATTTCTACTGAAGTACTAAGTAGTAGTAGTCAGTTTAATCTTCTTCACCAGATGTTCCATACTTAGTGCCTTGTGCCAGAACTAAAACGAGCTTAGTAAATATACCTGAAGTGAATCAGTATATGAGCTTTTTACTTAAAACTGTTGGAAAAGCTAATTAAAAAATCCATTCAGCAAATTTCAGCTTTTTTATGAATTAAACTGAAAATAGACATTTTTAGAGACGCCAAACACACAATTCAAAACTCGAAATCGTTTTTACTTTTTAGTTTTTACCCACATGTCTTGAAAAATAGCTGTCGAATCTGAAATGATTTTTTTGTATGTCATTTTTAAACGATGAGTAGAAGAATGGGAGAGTGTCACTATCATTTGTTAACGCATCTGAACATATGCTATAATGTTGAAGCTGCCAGTCTCCAGTTTAGTGATAATGCTGCAGGAATAATTTCGGTTGTCGGAGGAAAAGGCAGAGAGGGAGAGAGAGAGAGAATATCAGTTTTACAAGCAATACAGGAAATAAGTCATTTGAAAGGATGTGGCAGCTGGCTGGCGTCATCAATGAAGAATGGGTGCGAAGCTCTTTCTTTTTAGTGATGAAACAAAAAAAAATAGTTGGCTATATAATACTCGTAGCTGTTATTAAGCACACTGGGTGTTTGTTTTGTTTTTTTTTTAACAGTTAGTTAATCCACAAAATTATGTTGAATGTTGCAACCACTTGTATGCAACTGACAGGTAGTGGGTATGTGCATGTCATTCAAACAAAAATCCCATTCATCAACGTAGTTTTAGACAGCTGACTGATGTAGTGGTATCGCAGTACACATTTTTACAAATGATAAATTATGACATAACGGTACTAAGAATTAACTTTTAAAAAATAGCCAAAATATTTCAGCAGGTCTTCTAACAAAGACGATATTACCATGAAGAAGGAATGTTATTTGTTGTTGGGCTTTAAAAAAAACGAACATTTGTTTGTGGCATTGGCAAATCAATGTTTTTTTTTCTTTTACTTTCAAAATTATAATTTTTTTTATTGTTTACTTCGATGTGTTTAAAAAGCGAGAAAATTAAAACAAAGTATTTTGTAAAATAATATAAAAAAAAAATTAATTCTAAAAGTAAAATGTTTTTGCGCTGCTTTCGCTTTCGACAAAACAAAATTATTCAATTAATAATTTTTACATAGAAATTGTAAATCACTCAGAATAATTATATTTATTGTTAGTTAAATTCATAACAGTTAAACAGAACTACTGCTATCACATAAATGGTCTATGAATAAAAAAAAAAATAAGTCAAAATTGGGTGTGGGATCAAATGACTGCAACTGGCAAGTTTGAATTTTAAACCGTCAGTAATGCTACTGAAAAAAAAATAAAGGTCAACAATTCACTCAACATTAAAAATGAATCATCGTAGAAAAATATTTTCTATTTTCAAACCATAGATTTTTTTTTTTTGTTATTTTCAGTGTTTCATAATAAATAAGTAAAAAAGTAGTGAGGAATCGAGAATATATGACAAACTTTTGATCGGCTCATTATGTATTGTAAAAAAGAAAAAAATATCTAACTTGTCGAATTACAAATAAGTTTTTTTTTTAAAATTAAAGCATGGAAAAATTTAAAGGAGAAAAATGAAAGTCAAACTGATTTACTTTTAGTTTTTAAATAAACAAAAACCGTGATCTAGAATTAAAAGAATGAATCCTAAACAAAACTATGCAGTTCAATGATCGATCACCGTCATCGTGTTGATATTCATCCAGGATTTCATTAGCAAAACAAAAAAAAAAATGATCTGGTAGAGATACAAGTACTGTAAAACTTAACCAATACTAATTTCCTTTCAAAGTCATTAAAGAACCAAGAATTAAACAAAAATAAAGTGAAACAACGTTTTTGCAAAAATAATGTTCACTTCGTTTTTTTTTTTTTTTTGTTTTTTTTGCGTCACAAGAAATTGATTGATTTTTTTCTATTCCAGAGCAGTAGGTAGAAATAATTAATTAAAACGATATTGAACATATTTTATTTAACAGCCAATGAGAAAATATTTTTAGCAATGTATTCACAAAATTTGAAAAAAAAAAAAATTTTAAAAGGGGGTAAAAAATGTAGAAACGCATGTTAGTTAACTTTTATTCTTTTTAAATGAATTTTTTTTAAAAAAAACTCAAAATTCAACGGATATTCCTATGAAAAACTCTGCTAATCAGCAGAAGTAATACATAAAAAGTTTTAAAATTTTAATTAAAAAAATAAATAAATAATGAACGATTTTTATTTTAATAATTAGAATTCTTGCCATGGACTAAAAGGATAAAGTAAAAACGCTTCCAGGTCATTAAATGATTCGTATATTTATCAATTTCTTAAAACGACGAATAAATAAGAAGTCGTGTAAAACATGACACTAAGCTACAGCTGTCTCCTTTTCTTACTTAACAATATTCAACACAGTCTCTTTTTTTAGCTTCAATCTCATACAAGAAAAAAAAAATAAACAGTAAAAAAAGGACAGATGTTCTTCAGTGTTTTCGATCGAAAACAAAATAATCAAAATAAAATACCAAAACGAAAAACTAAAAGAAACTTAATATTTTACTACTATCGGACAAAAATATTATGATGACTATTTATTACAATAGGAAGTTTGTTTTTACTTTTTAGTTTTTAGTTACAAATGAAACAAAAGAAATTGAGGAAAAAAAGTTATTTAAAAATTAAAACTCAAATGGTTAAAAATCTGAATTCTTATTTAAAATCTATACAATGTATTTTGTAATATTGTTTTTAAATTCGCAATTTCTGTTTGAATATAAAATTTATACCGTAAATTATTTTGGTCAGTTACAGATCATCAAGAAAATATGGTTTAATTAGCGCCAACGGTTTTGTTGTTTGACGCAGCAGTTCAACATCGTGATAGAAATTGATGGATAAGTTTTTTCGTCGTCAATTATTTACAACGATAAATCAATTTACGCCTCGGTAAATTGGGGTTTGGGTCAGATAGAACATTTACTAGTCAGTGTTTCATGGTTATGACACCAAACAGAACTCGAAAGAAAAACCGAAGAATAAGAGAGAGAGAGAACAATACATAAAAATACCAGCATCACATAAAATTATTTAATAATAATAATAGCAAATGGGCAGTGCACGATTGAATTAATTAAACAAAGGCATCTAAGTAAAGTGTATACTCGGGATGTCGTTAATGAAGCTAACTTAGTCGAGGTTGATGACCCTGAAAAATACTCAAAACATCTGGAAGAGATTTAAAAAACGAAAGTTGAGAAGGCAAAGCTCTCCTCCAAACATCTTTCGGAATTTCAGTGGCGAAACGAACATTTCGATAATAACTTTTGCTATTTTCATAATTGACTTGTCTTTTGGAGTTAAAATTAGTAAATATACATTTTTTTTATATACTCAAAGTTATAGGCTCCTAATTTAAACTAACACACTAGGATTGCGTTTCTTTTTTCTCTACATTTATAGTTTTGAATTTCATGTTTATCCTTTCAATTTAAATCTCATTTTTTGACAACAGCACAGAAAATAACCTGTTTGAAACTAAATAAAATAAAAACATGCTTGTCGTCTATCAGGATTTGATGCCGCAACAAATATAAAATATAATAATAATAATAATAATAGAAGCACTAAGGAATAAAAAATATACGTAGAGATGTAAATGTCTATGTAATAACAAAATTAACTTACTCCTTTTGAATTTGTTCCGCTTTATTTCTCCAGTAATTTATCTCATCCTGAGGCGTGGCGAACCTCATATTCCCGTCGAGGGCTTCCATCTTTTCGAGGCAAGACTGATTTTTATTAGATATTTCACGTATTTCTTGATAAATCAAATGATTTGAGAAGAGTCGCTAGTTTTACTGTCTCGCTATTGAAGAACGAACAACTAAGTTGAGAATGATGAAGAAAGATGGAATGATGATAGCACCCACCAGTAGAGTCAAGACAGTGCGAGTCGGAATAATTCAGATCTCAAATACGCACAATCAGTAGATCTTAAGGAAAATAGTAACTTATTTAGTCTATGTCAAGAGGGATAAGGTTTACACGAGACACGTACTTCGTTATCCGCGTGTGAATTTCCGGAAAGAAACCCAAGCAGAGGCCTGGAAAAATCAGGCAGCACATTCGTCAGCAGCAACCTGCCATCACAGTATGTATTAACTGCGCATGTCTCCAGCTCACTTCCTGTAAGGGCAGATAACCAGTGTTCTAAATCAGACACTTGTGGAGTTTGTTGGTTTGGCTCAACGGTAGAGTTCAAAACCGATTATCAAAAAAAAAAACTACAATTTCTTCAGAGATTCATTTCCAAGCAATCTAAAACTCTAAAAATTCATATCAATACAAAAATATTTTCACTTCTAAATAATAGAACATTTTTTTTAAATTTCACAAAACTTCAAATATTCTATGTCAATTGTGAAGAAATAACATTTTTTATTTCTTCGTTTGATGTGTTTTTAGTTTTTAATTTTAATTATGTTTATACTACAGTCACACACTAATTTGCTCAAATCGCAGAAAAAAAGTCAAGTTCTGAAACTTTCTTTTTGATACTGAGTAAGTTTAAGTACTACGGCATAATCAAGCAGCAAGCACTAATGCTGTCTAACTTCAGATCAGACCTCTTTTTTTCAGGACTCTTAAAAAATTAACAATGAAGCAGTAATTGATTTGAAAATAGGTCTAACCATCAATTTTGAATTTTAAGTTGTTTGTTTTTAAATTCTGCAGTAATGTCATTTACTGAATAAACTTTGTTAAAGTTTGTTGTTTTTAAATTCTCAATTTTTGCTTCCTCTTTCTTTTGTCATTCATAAGTCATTCAAATAAAAAAAATCACGTTTTTTTTACTTCCTAATCGTAATTACTAACATAAGGCGGGAAAGGGGCTTCTTTTTTCTTTTCTTTTTTTTTATGGCTCTAAAAATAAAAATTACTAAAATGTTTATTATTAACTATTAACACATACGTCATTGGGTGGAATTTCTTGAAATTCAATATCTTTTCTTCTCTTTTCCAGTTTTCCGTTTGGGAAGTAAAATGAGAATTTTTACAATAAGTTATTCAGTTCTTCTTAGTGTCAACAACATTCATCATTATTTCATTACTTTTTTTATATTATTTTTTAGTTCTTTAAAGTTTGAAAATCTTTAGCTTTAAAAACAAATATTTGTTTAAATTTAAAATCTTACGTTAATAAAAATAAAAATCAACCCGAAATAATACATAGACTTTGGTAAAGGCCTTTAGAACTTACTTAGAAGAAAGACCAGTAGGAGATTTTTTTTTTTTTTACATAGGTAAAGGTAAGTAAACTAAACACAGCCGTAATGTAAATTTTATTAAAAATACATAAATAGTGAGATTGTAGAGTTATGTAACACTTGTCGTTTTTTTTGTTTTTATTCAAATTTTTTTTTGCCTTTCACATTATCGATATTAACAATCATCATGTGTAGAAATTTGATACAAGTGTGTTATACTCGGAGAGGATCGGACTCGCTCAGTGTCAATGATCTTCTCAAGGAAGACTATCCCAAACCACGGACGAGCATCACGCAAGCCTTGGTCATTGGCTTTATTTTGTCATTGATAAGCATATATTAGTCTTAAATTACTACTACTAAACTAGAATTATTGATAAATGTTTTAGCAAGTGACTATTAGCCAATAATTAGCTAATTAACAACTATGCCTACGAATCAATTATTATTTATTTCTTATTGATCAGAAGTTTTGTTTCCATCTTTTTTTTAAAGTTATTGTGGTGATTTTAAAATTCCACTGGACTCCACTTTAGTGAGTATTTTCTGTTTTATGTCAAATTAAAAACATGCAGTTGAGTAAATTAATTATTGAACAAATCTCTTTCCAATATTTTAGCATGAAAAAGAGAACACAGAATTGTTAGATATATTTTATTCAGAATTATTGTTTCGGCCTCCAAAAGGTAACCAAAGAACCTGCACTAAAGGTTTTGCTCTTAAAATTTTAACATCATATTTTCTTCATATTTCACAAAATTAAGGCAAATAATGTTACGACTATATGATAAAAAATGTGGAATAAAACTTTTGAATATTATCAAAACTATTGTTTCTCTGGGTCATTATTTGTTTATGAGTATTTTTGTAATGGTTGAAATTGTAGTGAGTGCAAAATAATAATTGCATTCTTCACTGACTCCCTTCAAATTCAGAAGACTAAGGAAGGAGAAATTTGTGAGCATATATGAGATTTTTAACTTTCACAGAAATTAACTGGTGAGCTAAGGGTGGGAAAAAAGAAGAAATTTGTAAGCTGATGTAAAAATCTTTTTGGACCAATGAAAACCTTGCCATCAGAGAAATTAACCGGTGATCTGAGAAGAAGAAAAGAAAGTAGCAAACCTACACAAAATTCCTTTTGATATAAATGTCGGAGTTAACTCCTCCTTCACTCCTTTGACCCTTTCACCAGGGGTCTCTCTTCCCTGGCTATAAATAGCCGCTGACTCTTGGCCTCTATCTCTTTTTCCTTCAGGCCTGTGCACTGACACCTTGAGGTAAATTCTTTTTTCCTTGAGGATTTCAGCTATCAACCTCGAAATGTAGTCGCTAACAAGGGATAGCGTGGAAACACGCTAAGCACAATACACACACACGCACGCACATACAGAATATTCACATACGTACGCACATACAGAATATTCACACACACTCTTTTTCCTTCAGGATTTCAGCTATCAACCTCGAAATGTAGGCACTAACAAGGGATAGCGTGGAAACACGCTAAGCACCATACACACACACGCACACACATACAGAATATTCACACACGCACGCACATACAGAATATTCACACACACTTCGTCCTTTGTACTGTTTCCATGTATTGTAACTTGTTATTAATATATATTTGTATATACATATATTATCGGTCTTGTGTTTTGTTTGCTTTCTTTGCCTTCTTCTTTGGACTTAATCAAAGTCCAACCTTTCTATGTAGTTGGGCTCGGCAGGCAGGAGTATTTGAACCTTACATGCGTTTCTTCTACGTCTGACTTCTATCAACAACATAACAGCCACGGCCCCTCTACATAAATGAGGAGAAAAATTAATCAGAAGAGTGTCTGAAGCCATGTGAAAAGTTCTCTGTTCCTTGTGACAGGTGTTGAAGTACTCACCAGTGTAAAATTAATCGCCAATTATATTATCAGCATCTAACCAGCATACAACATTTCAAAGAATTTTCTCCCAACAATCCAAGCAAGCTAAGTATTTCAAAATATCTCTCTTTATCTACTTTTGTATACAACCATATATCCCTTCTGTGAGCAACAGATGATCTTACATTTGTCCTAAACATTTTTTAATATTACTTTGTATCAGATCATTTAATCTGTTGTATGAACATTTCCTCTTCATGACAATATGTTAAAACTACAAACTTAGAATTCTTATTTATTTTCCTGAAACAAGCTATTGACACTAATTGTGTAAATTTGTGAATAAATTCCTTACCTTGTTTTGTTAAAATTACCTGCAGGTCTCATCTGCCTAATCTTCTTGCTATGAGTAAATCAACTGTTTATTTTAAACCCTAAGCCCCACACTATTATAGAATAAAACTTTTGAATATTATCAAAACTATTGTTTCTCTGGGTCATTATTTTATGTTTGTTTATGAGTATTTTGTAATGGTTGAAATTGTAATGAGTGCAAAATGATAATTACACCTTTCACTGACTCCCTCCAAATTCAGAAGACTGAGGAAGAAGGAAAAATTTGCGAGCATATGTGAGATTTTTGCCTTTCACAGAAATTAAGTAGTGAGCTGAGGAAAAAGGAGGAAAAAAATTTCATATGAAATTCTTTTTGGACCAATAAAAACTTTGCCATCATAGAAATTAACTGGTGTGCTGAGGAAAAGAAAGAAAAAATTTGCATGTGAAATTCTTTTTGGACCAATAAAAACTTTGCCATCATAGAAATTAACTGGTGAGCTGAGGAAAAAGGAAGAAAATTTTCATGTGAAATTCTTTTTGGACCAATAAAAACTTTGCCATCATAGAAATTAACTGGTGAGCTGAGGAAAAAGGAAGAAAATTTGCATGTGAAATTCTTTTTGGACCAATAAAAACTTTGCCATCATAGAAATTAACTGGTGATCTGAGGAAAAAGGAAGAAAATTTGCATGTGAAATTCTTTTTGGACCAATAAAAACTTTGCCATCATAGAAATTAACTGGTGAGCTGAGGAAAAAGGAAGAAAATTTGCATGTGAAATTCTTTTTGGACCAATAAAAACTTTGCCATCACAGAAATTAATTGGTGAACTGAGGAAAAAGAAGGAAAGAAAGTAGTATAAAAACTATTGTTTCTCTGGATCTTATTATTTTATGCTTTGTTTATGAGTATTTTTGAAATAGTTGAAATCACAGGTGTATGCTTTCTGACCAATAAAACAATAATTAATTCCTAATATTGGGTACATTTGGTAATTAGCTAATTATTGGATATCGTTTATATGTTAGAAGTGATTTAGGACTAACATACTCCTCATGAGTCAGAGATAGAAGTTGCTTGTGATTACTTTGTAAAAAGTTGAGGGGATGAAAGCTTGGCCTTGTAAAAATATTCAACTCCCCCACAAACAAAAAGGAAAAGAAGAAAGCAGATAAAATAGAAATCCTAAATTTGGGGTGTTTTACACAAATTATTTTTTTTAGTCCAGTTTCTTATGAAAACAGTTTTTATACAATAGACTAGATCCAGTAAGATTTATATTTT